ACTTTTTATTTGGCCTGCTGGGCCTTGATTGGCCTCTGCTTGCTCCTAGCCCTTCTAACTACTGGGGGACCAAGTCTCGCTGGTTCTTCCAGCACATGATCCTTGGAGACATATGTAGGCAACCCCAGAAGTCCAAAGTCACTACTTTTCTCTGCCAAAAGGACAGCTTCATAGAGCTGAGCCAAGGTGGCAGGGCCTCTAGTAGGGAGCAGCAAATGCCTGGTACCTCCTGTCATAGTGCCTTGGGCAATTTCTGTTACCCTGGACTGGTCTGCATGTATGCTGGTGGAGAAGGCAGCAAATAAGGAAATGGGGCATTCAGGAAGGAGTGTTGCTTATAATACCAAATAAAGTTTGCATGGCTGATGATCAGGTGATTGACTGAGAAACCACAATGACAACAGCAGCACTATTAACAGCAGTAAAATTAAAGGTAATGCTGAGGCACCAGACAGGTAGGCTGTGCCAGTACATCTCCCCTTGTTATTGTCAAGGGTGCGTCTCCAGCTGTCTCCCAGGTGTTTCTTACAAGGACTGACAGTGCTTCTGCTGTGTTTGAGAGACCTGGGAATAAAAAAATGAATTTGAAGGGCAGAAAATTCATAACTGAACAAAACACTTTCCCCAAACAAGACATAATTAGACGGTGGAACTCATTGCCACACGATGTTGTTGAAGCCAGGAACTTTAGCAAAATTCAAAGAGGTATTGAACATTGAGGTGGACAACAAGAACTTCTGGAGTTTGAGCAGCTAATGCTAAAATAAAGTGTTTTGTAAAAGGAGATAAACCTCGTGCTTCAGGATTTAACCTAAACTCTAACTACTAGGGTTTAGGATGAGACTTCCATGGGGGCAGATAATCCCACAACTGCCCACTGCCGGGTTTATTGCACCTTCATCGGAAGTGTCTCGTGCTGGCCACAGTTGGAGACAGGACAGTGGATAAGAGAGATCTCAGGTCTGATCCAGTCTGGCAGTTCATTTGTTCCAATTAACCCACCAATGAAGTCCCCCATCTGGCAGCTGGACTCACTGAGAGTGAGGCCGGGACCTTTCCACAGCTGGCACTCAAATTCGGCACCCTCCTGGTCTCTGTAGGCAGATCTGCCAGGTGGGTCAAAAGGGAGCCTGTCCTTGGCAGAGATAGTAGGAGCTGTGCAGAGGGTCTCAGGTGGGAGATGGGCCTCCGCTCATCATGCCGAGGGGCTCTTACAACTGAGTTTGCCTGCCCCTGTCTGAGACGGATTGGCCACATGGCACTGAGCTTGTGGGGAGTCGCTAGAAGGTGCCGCGCTGCAGCGCTGCCAACTCTCCCAGCTTGCAGGGTGACTGCAGCCATCTCCCAAAGCTGTAGACCCTGCCTGTGGGAAAGCCCCTCTGATTGGCTGCCTGCCCCACTTGCCTGCCTCTTGGGGAAGAGCAGCCAATCAGGATGGCCGCAGAAGGCAGGCAGAGCTCTCTCCTCCTCCCCTCAGCAGCCTGACACCTTTCTCATAGGAGGAGAGGAGGGAGCAGAAAGAGGCCAGCAGTGCAGGGCAGATCCTCAAATCCTCCTCTCTCCCTCCAGGCACAGAGGGGAGAATCCCTGGAGCTGCCTCCCCAGTCTGAAAGGGGGAGCAGGGACCCTGCTGCAGACCCCCAGCCCTGGGAAAGGGGGTGAAGAGCCCCTGGAGCTGCAGGAAGAGAAGAGGAGAGGTGGGGGAGCAGAACTAATGGGTGGTAGAGGGGGCTGGGCAGATGTGGAGGCAGAATTGGTGTAGGGACTGGGGAGACAGGATCAGTTGGGGGCAAAATTAATGGCTGGGCACAGCCAAGGGCAGATGTGGGGGTCTGACCTCCTGCAGTGGAGGCTAATAAACTTAGGAGAGGTGGCAACATAAATTGGCCCTCCCCACACACTGGGGTTGGGCAGGGAGAGTTCAAAAATCAAAGCACAGACCAAAAACTACAATATAATCTTTTTTTAAAAACAAATCTCATGGGTTTTGGCCCGATCTGGTGATTCTAGGGAGTCTTACTTAGGATTCTGGGACCTCTGGGGTTGCCAGTACAGCATATGAGACTCACTATGCCCAGCAGAGTCGTAGCAACTGCGCCAGGACACCTCCCTAGTCAGCTGAACGGGTCTCAGGTGAGAGATGTCTCCAGCAGAGCTGGTAGGAGCTGCCCTGGTGGGGCTGGGCTGGGGGTTGCTTTCTTCTGTGACTGTGGAGGACAGGTTGGGGTGCTTGGCCCGTGCTGAGCCAGCTTAAGGCGGTGTGAAGTTTAGTGGCGGCCCAGGCAGACTGCACAGACTGAGGCTGCCTGCTCAGCATGTTTGCCGCACTGAGAAGTTCATTTCCTTCCCCAGAAGTGGCAGGAGCCAGGATGCCCTTCCCCTCTGCTCTCTCCTGCCTGACACGGGAAGAGAAAGGGGGGATTGTGCTGCACAAAGGCCACTTCTCCTGCTGAGCCTTTGGCCGCAGTGACGCTAGACCCATCTAGCTGGCACTGCCCTACCCAGCCCCCTGTCCCCATATTCCTGCCAGGAGGGGGCATATGCTGCAGACAGTTGCCATGGTCAGGAAGTGCCCTGCTGGCTCTCATATCTGCATGAGCTTCCACCACCATGCCAAGGGACAGGGGCTCTCAGTGGAAAAATTGTGCCCCAACACAGGGGCTGAAAGGGGCCGTGCAGACAGCATATGCTAGGCTAGCTCATTAGTACTCCTCAAGGCTGCTAATTAAGCAACTTTGTCTACAATGCCAGATTCGTAACCCTTTATTTCTCATCTTCTTTACTAATGGCTCTGACTATGGAGCAGGCCCAAGTGGCTGGGCGCTGCCCCAGATGAGACCCATTTGCTCATTGGCCAGCTCTCTCATTTCCCAAACCAGCAGCCGTGCTCTCCTGGCTAGGGACTTGCACTGCCTTGCAGAGCATCCAGTCAAGCCTTGGTCTGTTGCTGGCTGGTGTCCTGGTCACCGCTCTGCCTGGGCCTCTGTACAGTGCTGAAGGAGGCCTGAGCTTTTGGGGCTGCAGCAGCCTAAAATTGGGAGACCTCAAATCTGGCCAGTAGTTGTGGGCCACAGAGGCTGGGACTGAATCCCAGGAGCATAGCCCAGCCCCAGATTTTATATAACCCATCAGCAACCCTTTTGTAGCTCCCCACAACCAATAACCATTCTTGCTGTCTTGGTTCATGTGCTCCCATTGGCTGCAAGAGCTAATGAAAAGAGACATATGATGGGCTGGAAGGGGTTGAGATGTGTCCTGTTATTATCTGCTTTGGGTTGATTGCTGGGATCTCACCTGGCAGCCCTGGCATCTACCCCGATTCTCCCTCCTTGTCTAGGCCCATCCTGGGGCCTAAGAGCTTCGTGAACTGGGGTGCCACCAAGGGACAATGTGATTGAAGCAGACATTAGGAAGGGCTGAGGGAGAAGGATCCGCTGTGGCAATGGCAGCGATTCCCTCCATATGGGGGCATGCAGTGTGCCCGGGCATGCAGTGCAGTGCCAAGGAGGTAATTGGGTGAAGTGAGATGCTATTCCCATTCACTGGGAAATATTGTCTCCTACCCATTTGGCCCATTATTTATTTATCAGTCATAGATTTATAGACACAGACTTTCTCTCTACCACCCTCTTATGGCAAAGACACACCTTCCCTTGTGCCTCCACTCCCCAGATGATGCCAGCATAACTCCAGGAAGAGGGTAAGTTAGTTTGCTGCTGCACAGGAAGAGTAGAAAGCATTGTTTTTGTAGGTCTTACACAAATGGAAGCTGTATTGAAAACATTCTCGGTGACTGAATGTTTACTGCCAGAAATCTGGAATCTTACAGGCAGACTTAGAGTGGCTAGTGGCACTCCCTATGCTCTGTCAGCGCCAAATCCTGAGCATCAAGTGGTTCGGCTTTGTGTGACTGTCACAGTCTCCCAAAGATCTGGCCTTCCTTTACTCCCTCATTATATTTGAAAGCAGTGTTGCATGCTTTTTGGCCACATCATCACGATAGACAAAAACACCTCAGTGCACTGTGCTTTCAAATCTCCATTGACGTGCGAAGGGGTACATGCCCTGCCCTAACTGGGGCTGCCCCAGAGATGTGTGGGTCCACAGAACCGAGCCAGATCAGGGAACTTCACTACACGATGCCTGGTGCAACGCCTTCAACCTTGGTCACTCTGACTGGCACAAGGGTCCTTAGCAGTCTGTGTATGGAGGATGATGATGATGCATGTTGGCTAATTAAACCTAGGTCTGTGCAAGCCAATGTACTTTCCCCTTGCACTATAACAAGCAGCAGTTAGTGAGGAACTAAAAAAACATTGGCAAGTGCCCAACTTCACCCAGGCCTGTTTGCTTATTATTGCATTGCCGCAGTGCCTAGAGGGTCCAGCCTGCTGTGCTAGGCACTGGACAAACACAGAACAAAGAGATGCACCCTCCCCACAGGATTCAGCTGACAACGCTTCAAGCTTAGCGCAGTTTCCACAAATGCTTGGGGCTGCGTGTCAGGAGTGAACTGCATGGACAGGGCCCAGATTTGAACAGTAGGGTGCTGCGGGTCAGGCCTGAGGGGCACCGGCAGGGCTGTGTGTAAAGCCCAGGACTGGAATAGCAGGCAATATTGCGGAGCAGGAGTGAGATGCCTGGAGTGAGGGCCAATGCTTAATTTGTCATGAAAGAGGTGTTGGGGCTCAAATCTTTTTTTTTTTTTTTACATTCATAACGGATGCAGCGAGCTCAGGGCTGCTGGGGCTATGGACTGCCAAGCCGACAGGTGCCAGGGCTCAGCCCTGGCGCACATTAAGCACTGGTGAGGGCACATGCAGTGATGTCTCTTGCACGACTCCTTGGCACTGGGATTGCGATTTGCTCCTTGCCCTGCATCCAAACAGCGGGGCCCTCCCACTCCACTTGCCTCTGAAGGGAGTTTCCATGCCATTCACGTTGCCTCCGAGTGCATTGCCCCGGGCGTGGGGCGTGGGCCCATCCCCTGCGCACCCAGCTCCGGGGGCAGCTCGCTGCTGCTCCTCGGGGTGGGTGCCGCGTGTCATTGGCCAGGCAGCGGGAGCACGTGGGGCTGGGTGTAATCTGCAGGCTCAGCCTGGGAGGGGAGGGCGCCCGTCTGACTCACTCGCTGACTCTAATCCCGCCGGAGGAGAAGGCAGGACACAAACAAGACTTGAGGAGCGAGTCCAGCCGGACGGGCCAAGGAGCCGCGCAGAGCCGGGGTGGCGAGCCGGAGGCCGAAGGGGGGGAGATGAAGGCATCGAGCCCTTTGCCGACGCTGTTCGGTGCCATCCTCGCCGTCTCGGCTGTGACGGGTGAGTTTGGATCAGAGGCGTAGTTTGACTTCTATATTTGGGGGTGGGGGGCAGCTCCAGCCAGGGCCAATGGGGCTGTGTGTGTGTGGGGGGGGGTACCTGCCCGAGGCTTGTTTGTGGGGCAGCTCCCCCTCCTGTCCCCCTAACTACGCCTATGGTTTGGATCTTTGGCCTCTCCCTCCTCCCACTGTCTGTCCCGCTTCAGGGTCTCCCGGGTGTCTCGCCCTCCCCATGCTGAAAATCTGGGGTGCAAGGGCGGGGGCATACCCAGCCTGGCCCGCTTGTCACTCTCCGCCTGCTGCTGCACATCAAAGTCTGGGATCCTCTGGCTGTGGGATTCGCCTCGTCCCCAGGTGTCGGGGTGGAGAGGGCCAAGCAGCAGTTGCTCAGTCCCCTTCCGGTTCTAGCTGATGTTGAGAGCTGGGAGAAGGGGCCTCAGCAGGAGGGGTACGGCGCTGTACGGCGGACGCTCAGCATTGCCGCCATCAGACCTCACTAACACCTAGCTCTTTGCTCAGTAGTGCTTCACTGGCCTGAGTGCACAAGTCCTCGCAGCCCGCCCCTGGGAGTCAGGACCGCTGCCCCCGTTTTACAGAGGGGGAGGTGAGGCACAGAAGGGGGGTGAGGCTGTGGGTGTACAGCTCAGGACTCACACCTGGCGGCTGTAAATAGAACCTAGGAGGGTGGGCTCCCGGCTTCTAGCCACTCGCTACCCAAGCCCATGGTCCTGACTGACATCCCAGGCCCCAGTCTTCTCCCCCAGAGCTGGGAAGAGATCCCAGGAGTTCTGGCTGACAGACTCCCCTGCTCTAACTATTAGATAACACTTTCCTCCTATATAACAAAACACCCTTCCTTGTTTGTATGGCCCTTAGCTGGGAAGGGAGGAATGGGCATGTGGTGAGCGCAGGGCTGGCCAAGGGAGGTGGGGAGGTGGTGAAGAAGCTGTACTGGCGGGGTGGGAGGTAGGGATGGGGTGAGGGGCTGAGAGGGTGGAATATGTGGATAACAGGTAGAGGTGAGGGACAGGATATGGGATGAAACACTGGGAGTAGAGGGAAAAGACGGGGGGGGGCACTCGCTGGAGCCTGGGCCCTGCGGCAGTGAGGGACCGAGGCTGGCACAGGGGCAGTGGAGGGCATGCAGTTTTGGTTGGGAGGGGCACCCATTTTCCCCTGACCCATGCTTCCAACCCAGAGGGGCTGGGATATGCAGCCCAGAGCCTCACAGGACGTTATTTTTGCCTCCCTGCCAGTTCTTGGAGCCACATAAGCAAACATTTCCAAAGGTGGCTGGTGATTTTGGGTGTCTCAGTTGGGAGCCTAGTGTGGGACAGTTGGGGCCTGATTCTCAGGGCACTCGCAGCTCCAGTCAAAGGCAGTGGGGAGCGGGAGGTGCTGCATGGCTCTGAAAATCTGGCCCCAGCTGTCCCAGACACTGAGGCACCCCAAATCACTGGTGGCTTTTGAAAGTATGGCCCTTCCCTTGCCTGCTGACAATGGAGTGTGGCCAATGAGACCTGCTGGAGAGAGGACAAGGGGGAGAGGGAGGGGGAAGCTCAGTTACTTGTGATATTTAAAATGTGCATAGCTTATTGGGGCCCATTCTGCCCTGGGGAGGAATGCGGTAGAGTGGCTTTTCCAGCCCCTTCTCCTCTACCTGGTCTCCTCTGCCTTGCTGTGTCCTGGCCCCAGTGTGAACCAGATGCTCCTGTAGTGGAGGCAGCTGGCACAGCAGATGCTTGGGGGACACACACTTGTCAACCTTGTGTCTCTGTACGTAGCCAGTACCTCTCCGCAGACCCAGCGCTGTGTCTAAAGCCTTGGCCAACTGGCTATAAGGATCCTTGATACTGAGTTTCTGATTCCCCAGGAGACTTGAGGAGCATGGGGCAGGTAAATAGCCCCCACTCCTTGATGAATGAAATGGGTAAAGACATCCCCACTCCCCATTGGCCCTTCAGCATCTCCCTTCTCCTTCTCCTCCTCTGCTGTAGCTCATGGCAGTGCATTGATGGAAGATGAGGTCATGCAGAGCCAGGCTGGGTGGCACAGGCATAAATTTGACCTGGTGCCCAAGCTCTTCCGCTTTCTCAGGCTGGGCTATAGGAGCAGCAGCAGCGTTTCGGAAGCCTCCAGTTAACACAGGCCGGCCCGCTCCATCTGCCACGAGCACGCCCTGTGGATGTGGAGGGTTGGGATGTGGGATTAGTTCTGAGGAGCCTTGCTATTAAAAGACTAATTGGAAATAACTCCCTGAGCAGTGGCTTAGGCTAATGAGATCTGTGCTGTTCAGTGCAGCTCTGGGCAGTGAGCTCTCAGCTGATTAAGTACCCACACAGGTAGTTGTGTGTGTGAGGGGAGGCTGTCCCGGGGGTCTCCACCTGAGCTAAACCCTTGATCTAATGCCTGCAGCATGAGCCGACGTGGCAGAGAGAAGCTTGGTGTCAGGAGACAAGCTGCCCCAGTGCTTGCTAATGAGAGACGCAACCTTTCACCCACGGGTCACCCATTTGAATCCGCCCAGGTCGGCATGGAGGGCCCTAGAAGTTATACCCAGTTGCCAGCCAGCTGTTTGGCAGTCGTCCCCCTCACCCCGCTGTGTGAAATGAACTGGTGGGTTGCAGCCCAGCTTCCGGGCACAGCCAAAACCACTTTCACGATTGGCTTCTCGGCCGGTAGTGTCATTAGTGAAACCAGGGGCCGAATGGCTATAGAGGAGTTCCCCCTCTTGTCCCTATTGAGGGTGCTGAGGCCTCACTGGCTGACAGGGGATGGGCAGGAGGAGTTTTCCCTGTACTGTGTGAGCTATGCCTGTCCTAGGAATGGAGATTTTCCATCTCCAGGGGAGTCTCTCACAGAGCGCGGTCCTGGACAAAGGCTGGTCTGCTGCACAGAGCCATCTACAGGTGGGGAGCATGTGGAAGCAGGTGGGAAGACTTCTCCTGGGCACTCCTTGGGGCAGATGCCCTGACGGACCCTGGGGACCTCCCCCTGCACCCAGGAAATGGACACAGACAGGAAGTGCCCTCTGGGTAAGATGCATTTTCTTGGGACAGGTCTGAGCCGCCTGGGGGGCTGACCCGCCTCGTGCTCGCTTGCTCTTTGGAGCAGCAGCTGGCCCTGTCTCCAGGCCGTGATAGGCCGCTGGCCTGTACCCCCCTCTGCTCCACTCAGCCTGGCTCCTGGGCTTCCACACTATTTGTTCCTTAGGAGATGCCGGTTTTTCAGTCTTTCACAAATATAAACCGACTTAACTGAAATATCAGATGCTCGGCCCATCTGATTCCTGGGGTGAGGGCATCTGGTGCCCTATTCAGTCACCCCACTCTGCTCTGCTCCCTGCACTGCTGGGATACAGGTTTAGGGGGTGGAAGGAGGAACGTTCGCTCCTCCACTTACTCTGGAGGGCAGTGTTGGCTCTGAGTATCCATAGTCCACCCCTTCTTCCCAGGAAGTCTGTGGTCATTTCACAGCCTCCCCTGGCCCAGTTAACTAGGAGGAATGGGTTGGAGCAAAGCACATTTAGGCTGAATAATAAGGAAGTTCCTGAAGAGTGAGATTGCCTAGGGACAAAGCCGTGGGGCACAGACTGAGGAATCAGCTGCCCTGGCCCCCAGTGCAGGGTGGTCAAGGTGTGGAGGGGTATGTGGTGGGGAGGGGGAAGGACATGGGAGATGGGGAACTATCACTGTCAAACTGCAAGATGTGGGGTGATGTGCTGGGAAGATTGGTGTCAGCAGCTCCTTGGTGGCTCACTGTGGGGTGATGTGCTGGGAAGATTGGTGTCAGTGGCTCCTTGGTGGCTCACTAGGGCAACTGGAGTCAAAGCAAAGGCCCAGTTGCAGAACAGCGGGCACTGATAGTTCCCCTCTCCCTGAGCCTCCCACGCCCTCCTGCTCCTAGCATGCCTCACCTTGGGCATTACCCTGCAGTGCTGGAGGAGGGTGAGACATTCAGGCACAAGAGGAGAGCTGGAAACTCCTTGGGGGACTTACGAGGGACTTTGGTCTCCGGGGCAGACGCTGTGGAATTGCACCGAGAATGTAGGTTGGTACCATGGACACTGTGAGGGTGGGAGCTGGGCAAGTTTCCTCCTCCCAGCTCTGCTGGTGCCCTCTGTACTGACTGCTCTTCCAGTCCAGGAACCCCATACATAGCTCTGCCGGTGCGTCTCAGTCCTGCCTTGCAGCACTGTGTGTGAACTCAGCCTGGGGCCCCCCACGTACAGCTGTGCCACTGCACTTCAGACGGTGCTGCACCCAAAGTAACATGGATGAGCTCTGTAAAGGCAGGATATCTGCTTTTGAATTTTCCTGAAAGATCAGATTTCAGTCAAAGACCTGGGTCTGTAGCTGGCTCATGTGTGGTTTCCCTGGCAGTTAGTGTTTGTAATGACTTGTGGCCTTGGTTACAGGTGATTTCTGTGATGTGAACCACTGTGAGAACGGGGGTACCTGCCTGACTGGTAGCAATGAGACTCCATTCTTCTGTATCTGCCCTGAAGGTTTCACTGGGATTGACTGCAATGACACGGAGAAAGGTACAGCCCATGCGAGAGGCGGGTCCAGACGCTCTGAGACTAGAATCTCATCTGTATGTGATTGTGATGCATCAACAATAACACAGCAAAGTGCGTGGATCTGCAGATCCATGTGTGCCCTGGGGGTGCTAGCACGTAGCAAAGTTCCCATGTCATGACCCTGTCCACTGGCTGCTTCCAAGTTCCAACCCTGCCGATGATTTGTACAGAGTGGTGTTTTAAAACTGGTGCCTATAACAAGGACATGAACATGGGTAGATCTTAGACTCTTAGGATGAGCTTCTTCTCATGGGGAAATAACTAACAGACTGTCAAAGTATGTGTCATACCTTTCTCTAGTGATTGGTCTACTGCAGGATAACATCATACTACTGCTACCTAGCAATGGAGTGGTAGAGGTCTCTGTTATGGAGCTGAAGGTCCCAGTTTCAAACACGGATGACAACCAGGCTTGTACCAGATTCACACACACCTCAGGAGCACTAACCCAGAGCCAAATGCTGTTATGTCAGATCCATGCATGACTTGGGGTTGTTATGCTTATAAGAAGCACATAGAATCTTTTAAAAGGAGCTAAGGCAATACTCTGTGTTATTTAGTGTACAGTTTAAGCATTGAAATCAGCATATGCTTACACACACACACACACACACACACACGGTTCTGCAGCTGGATCTCATAGTTACTAGTCCTTTGTGTTGTTCGGTCCATTCCAATGGCCAGCTGAAACTGCACATGAGGGAGGGGGAACACACCCTTCTTTTATAGTGATAAGTTCCCATACAAGTCTATGGACCTTGCTGTGCCACACTGGAGCTGTCAATCACGAGGTATTCAAAGTTGCTCTGTTTAGAATTATTTTGAGTTGTTCCCCGGGAGGATCCGCAGCTGTTTCTTATCTGTCCCTTTGGCTCAACTCCTTATCTAGTCCTTGGGGTGTAAGCCTTTGCTTTAGGGTCATCAATCTGCCATCCGGGTGATTGATAATAAAGTTGGTGCCTCTTGACTGCTCCACTCCCCTCTCGACCATCTGGCCCAGCTGGCCTGTCTCAGTTAATCACCACACATTCTTCACTCACACCAAACCCTAAATAAGGCTATTACAGCCATAAAACTTCTATCCTTCTAAGAGTGAATGTTAACACAATAGCAAAGAATAAACTCAGAACAATTTACTAATTCAAGGTTACAATTTCTTCTTACTAATTCAAAGCTAGCAAAATGGAGTACAATTCCACTTGAGACAACTTCTTCCCATTAGGCTTTTGGCCTACAGGGTCACCAAGTCACAGTAACGGGCATCCTTATACCAGAGCCCTGCACCCCTGGAACAGTGTGGATTCTTCCTTTCCCTGTTCCCACTGGACAACTGTTTGCTTCCTCTGTTTCCTTCCCCAGGCCCCTGCCACCCTAATCCCTGCCACAACAATGGCGAGTGCCAGCTGGTGCCCAACCGGGGTGATGTCTTTATGGAATATGTCTGCAAGTGCCCTGCGGGGTATGCAGGCACCCACTGCCAAAAGAGTGAGTATGGGTTGCTTCTGCAAGGGTGGCACCACGCACTGGCTCTGGGGGAGATGGGGACATGACAAAAGACCTCCCTGCAGGAGGAGCTGCCAAGGTGGGAGAGGAGCATGAAGACCAGGTGTCCATGTGGTGGATTGTGTTTGTGTATGTACCCCCGTTACCGTCCAGATATTGTTGGGGTATGTGTAAGTGACTAATCCAACAAAATACCCCACTGAGTTTGTTTTCATCAAGGCATCGGATGTTTCTCACCCTGAGCTGCTGGCAATGCACTAGGCAGCCTTGCACGATGACTCTCCGCTCACATGCCTCTGAACTGACTTGCTGGCTCTGGTGCCCACTGGCAGGGATTATGTGATTCCATCCATTCTGCAGCAGCCCAGCTGTCAGATCTACTCTGGATTGCTGGTCCTGGAGCTGCCCCTGGAAATCTAGGAGCTGGAGTGGGAGGGGAGCCCTAGAGACCAGCGTGAGGTGGGGTGTGGGAGTTGGTGCCACTTGGAATAAGTAGTCCAGCTCCAAGTGAAATGCAGGGACTGGTGTTGGGTGCGATGTGGAAAGGTGCCAGGAGAGGCAGAGGTACTGGGTAGGATGCGATTGCCAACTCTTGGTCGGATGCAGGGCCTGGTGGTTGGTACAATGTTGGACCAGAGCCAGGTGGATGCAGGGGCTGGCACCAGGTGGGTTGCAGGGTTCAGCATTGAGTGCACTGAGAGAACTATAGAAATGATAAAGATACTGAGGGAGAAGGTAGTGCAATGGGTATGTCTGGCCTCTGCATCTTAACCATAGCCTGGCCAATGGCAGTTCTGCTTTTAGGACACCTGTGGCTCTGCCTGCTCCAGAGGGGAATTTGTGCATCATCTGCAGTGTAGAGTGGGACCCTCCCCAGAGCTTCACACAGATGCGTAGAAGAACCAGTGCCTCTAAGCCCAGTCCACTCCAGTGGGAGAGGCTCCCTCCCACAGTGGCATAGCTGGGCATCTCAGCTAGACCCCCCACCACTACAAGCAGCCTGGCAGTCACCCGAGGGCCGATATGAATGCAGTTTGGATTAAAGCCCTCACTTAGCTTGCCAGAGCAGCTGTCTGCTGATAACTCTCTGCGTAAGTGATGGGACTCCCCATCCCACCATGTGGTGCTGGGTTTGCGGCTGGAGGGGGCAGAGGCTCTCTCTCATCTTCTTCGCTCCTGTCTCCCCTAGACGTGAACGAGTGCTCCTCACAGCCATGCAAAAATGGAGGCACCTGCCTAGACCTGAACGGCGACTATGCCTGCAAATGCCCCTCTCCATTCTTGGGGAAGACCTGCCATGTCCGTAAGTCCCTGACCGTGACAGGCGGCTACAGACCCTGCCCCCCCCCCCCCAACTTCCTGTTGCCCCTCTCTGCTCTCAGCAGTACCAGCAAGCACAAAGACAACCAACCTTGTTGGTTGGCATTAGGAAAAACAGAGGTCGATGGCTTTTGAAGCCAGCTTCATTGTTGTCCATTAGCCCCATGACACTGGAGAGCCCAGTGCTAATGAAATTAGTGCTGGAGGAGGCAACCCAGAGAAATCTCCTGCTCTTCTCACATCTCATGACTCTGGGATAGTCCCAGAGACTGGATCATAACACATCACAGAGTGGGCTTTCCCTTTTCAGATCTCCTTACATCTTGTTGCTGTGGTGGGACAGCCGTGGTGGCTGGATAGTGGAGAAGGGAGGTTCATACAAGGAGCGTTCCCTCTTCAGGTTGTCCAGGCCTGTGACGGTGGTGAAAAGCTGCCTGGAGAGCTCTGCACACACCTGGACATCTTCTTTTCTGAGAGCGTTCAAGACAGTTGCTGACCAACTGGTCCTGAACAATCTTGGTTCGGGAAGTGCAGAGGGCATAGCTCTGCGGAGGGGTTAGGGTGAAGCCAGATGCGACTGGGGAGCAGAAAGAACCAGCCACCTTCTCATTTTAATGAGACACCAAACCAGTGCCCCAAGTGGGCAATGAAGGTCCTTGCTCTGGTCTAGTTTCCATTTCATACCCATGAGACAAGAGGTGTCTCCAGAGAACCAGGAATGTGATGGTCAGAGTGTCACCTTCTCTTTCTCTCTTTTTCTCCTCTTCCTCTCCGTTCTCACTCTTCTTTTACCGATGACCTGCTCCTCTTTCTTTTCATTCCCAATCTCCCTCCCTTTTCTTTCCCTGTTTCCCCTTCCCCTGCTCCAGGCTGTGCTGTTTTACTGGGCATGGAGGGAAGGGCCATTGCAGATGCCCAGCTCTCGGCCTCATCTGTGTACTATGGGTTCCTAGGCCTGCAGCGCTGGGGTCCCGAGCTGGCCCGACTCAACAACAATGGAATTGTCAATGCCTGGACCTCCAGCAACTATGACAAGAGCCCCTGGATTCAGGTACCAGCTGGCTGAACACACAAACTTTCCCTTGGGTGGGTCATGAGCTCATTGCAGAACAGGTTCCTCTGAAGCACCAGGCACTGCCCAGTGCTGGAAGTGGGATGCTGGGCTTGTTGGAACACTGGTTTGTTCTCATGTGGCAGTTTCTACCAGCGCTTCCCCATGCTCCAGGGCTGGGACTTGGGGACTGCTCTGAATTCTGTTGGCCAATGGGAATGTAAACCCACTGTCCTATTCCCTCCTGAAATCTCCACCTTGGAGAAGGAGCGGTTTCAGATCGGAAGCCTCCTAATATTAACATGACTATAAAAAGGCGGTGTCCCAGGGCAGCATCCCTTTGGGGGCAGCTGGCACTTCTTGATGCAGGATGCTCAATCTCCTGGGAGGAGGCACTCAGGAAACACCTTAGCAATGCTCTCTGGTGGTACAGATGGGCATCCTTCTCTCCTTGATCAGGGGACTGGGATCACGGTGTGAGGCTGTGGGGATGGGGAGTTCTAGCACAGGAATAATGGGGCAGCCTGCAGATGGACAGAGCACCCACCGCAGGTCAGCCCCTTTCAAGGGTGCTGAGGCTGAGTTGGTTCCCAGGAGTCCAGCTGGGCTGCAGGTCACATAGACTAATACTCTATGGGAGACCTGGGATGACAGGGGCATAGCACGGACCGTACTCTGTGTTAAGCTCTGTAGCATGTTCCCTGCCCCATCCCAGTAACCCTCTGTCATGCCACAGGCAAACCTGCTGAGGAAGATGCGGCTGACAGGGATCATCACGCAGGGTGCCCGTCGTGCGGGCTGGGCAGAATACGTCCACTCCTTCAAAATAGCACACAGCCTGGACGGGCGTGTGTTTGTGTTCTGCAGGGACGAGAAACAGAATCAAGACAAGGTGGGTACTGCAGTAATGGGCCTGCTGCCTCCACGCGTGGGGGGGAAACGGGCCTGGGGCATGGGGCTGTGTCAGGGTGGGGCGAGGAGATCGATGCACTGGGGGTGTTAGCACATGGGTGTGTTACCACTGTGAAATTATGGCACTGGCGGGGGCCTTGTGTCACTTTGTGGGGGTGGTGTCTGCTCAGAGGAGATGCTGTGTGATTGCAGGGGCTGCAAACAGGATCGGGGGGTTCTCAGAAAGGTATTGAGAACAATAAATACCAGCGGTTTCATAATAATATAAATGATTATACACACACACTACAGCTGCCTAGACAGAGCACAGCAACTAGTCAACATTCAGAGAATCCCTGATTTGTGACTAACACCCCAAGTTTGCTTTGCTCTGATTCACAAGCTTCTGGGTAGTACATCTCTGTTTAAAATGTTTGTAAGCCTATCAGGGAGCAGGCCCAATGCCATGTTTCTTGGGTGACCAGCCACACAACAAGAAGAGCCAACAGTGAAGAGTACATAAACTCCCTACAGGTGTCAATGATTTGTTCAGCCCCATCAGGCCTAGTCTTGACAGCAGATACATTTGTGGGAAACAAGACTGGTCTTCGAACAATTTGCTAGAGGGGCTGAACTGGTAACAAGTAAATCAAGCGTCTCTACTATATGCTACAGTGTACAATACTGTATATGTATATATTTACAGAACCAATAGCACATATATACTGTCCACTTCCCTATAAGTCACCTGATGTATAAGCTGACCTACTAATTGACAGCAGTGTTACCAACTCTCAGGATTTTATCACACATCTTGTGATGATTGGTGTATTTCTTAAAACCCCAGCTGCTGTGATCCTGTGACTATATGAGAATCTCAGCCTTCATCATAAAAAAAAAAAAAATTTTAACCCTCATGGTTGCAGAGAAAAACATGTAAATGTGACCCCAGTGTATTTGAAAGGGTAAAAACAAAAAGAAACACACACACACACACAAGACAAGTGGAAAAACAATCTCATGATATTTAAGCCAATCTCATGATTTTGGGGGGCTTGACTCATGATCTTGTAACATTTTGGTTTGGCAACACTGAGTCCAAGGCATTCTTCAGTGTTGGTGGTGAGTTGGTCTGTCACGTGGCTTTTGTTACGGAGTCTACAAGATAAAAATTGGACCGCTGGGTCAGGGATTACTATGGACAAGGGTATGGGGTAGAGAAGGGATGAGGACTTGATACTGGCCCCCATTCCTGGCCACTAAACACACTCATCTTGGTCTGTGCCCTTACAGGTTTTCCTGGGGAACACAAATAATGATGGCATGCAGTCCAACACGTTCAATCCTCCGATCACAGCCCAGTACATCCGCATCTACCCTGTGATGTGTCACAGGGCTTGCACGCTGCGCTTTGAGCTGGTGGGCTGCGAATTGAATGGTAAATGTCTGCTCCGGGCCAAGAATATGGTGTACTGCTCCAGAGCACTAATGACCCTGTCTGTTGGATCTCTGAGGCGGATGTGCATGTCCACGGCACGAGCTGTGATTTCATCAGATCACACATGTTGGGCCGGGTCAGTGCTTGGATGGGTGACCTCTAAAGATACCTCAGATGTAGGAACCTTGTTGAGACTCAGTAGGGGGTGTTCTTCCCTCTGTCAGTGCTAACCTTAGTGTCTCAATGTGGCACTAGAAGGCAGTGTGTTGCAGGGGAGTGGTGCGGGTGACTTGGGGGGGGGGGGGGGTGCTGTCACCTCGGAGTCATTACTGATCCCAGTGCAGTGCTGTGGGATTTTGTGCTGCTGGAGGTGTTGCCTTTCTGATGAGACCTGATCACCCTTAGTTGCGAAAGATCCGTTGGCTCTTTTTGTGAGAATAGGGGTGTTAACTCCAGGGTCTCAGCCAAATCACATCCTAGATAATGACATTCTACTCCCTAAATCCTTCCCAGGCAGTCTCAATCAGGATCTTCCTGCACTCAGTCCCAAACCCCTGAGCAGTGCTGCTGTGCGGCTGTTGAACAGCTGCTGAGATCATTTCCCTGCTGGCTGAAACAACTTCTGTAGAGTTTGCAAAATTCTTTAGGATCAAAGTCCCCTAGAAAATGTAACTTAGCAGTAGGCTCAGCCAATCAGATTTCTCTCTCGCTAGCTCAGCATTCCTAACATGACACATGTGCTCGGCAGTGGTTGGCGAAACGGGCCCAGTTCCGAGTCTCTGGATTGCTCCAGGATTGCCCTTCTCGTTGAAATGTTGTACGTTGTGTTTGTCCAGTCAGTGCTTTCAGGGAGGCTGGGAACGACCCTCTGCTGCCTGGCTGTTTGGTGGCCCCGGTGTATTGCAGTGGGACTGGTGCATCCGTGTATCAACTGGGGCCTTCAGCAGAGGCCAAGGATCAAACTGGGCGTGAACACCAGCCTCCCCTTAGGGGAGAATGGTCAGGGCTGGGGCCCAAGAGCAGGGTGGAGGGGGAGTTAAGCTTGCCCTGCCACTGCCCACGGCTCAGGGGGATAGAGGCCTCCGTCTCTAGCGCTGTGAATCTTCTAAGTTCACCCTATGTTTCGTGCCCGTGGGTTCCTGATCTGGACTCTGCCAGGGCCCTGTCCCTCACAGGGAGGGGTGAGGAACCTGGGAGAGAGAGGCCTGCAGGAATACTGCAACAGGGGTCCAATCCCTGGGAACACCCAGGGCAAGCAATTGGAATTAGCCTACATGGACGCAGGATCTGGAGTTCATCTGAAGCCTTTCAGGGAAAGTGAGCAATGCTTGTGGTGGGGGCTGGACGTGGCCCTGGGGCCAGGCACCGGCTGGCAGGTCTGGGCCCCAGCTACTTTGGCACTGGGTGCTCAGATCTAATTCCAGGAGTCAGAGTAACAGCCGTGTTAGTCTGTATTCGCAAAAAGAAAAGGAGTACTTGTGGCACCTTAGAGACTAACCAATTTATTTGAGCATGAGCTTTCGTGAGCTACAGCTTCATCCGATGAAGTGAGCTGTAGCTCACGAAAGCACATGCTCAAATAAATTGGTTAGTCTCGAAGGTGCCACAAGTCCTCCTTTTCTTTTTGCGAATTCCAGGAGTGTCTGTGTTTTGGTTTTCCCCCAGTCTTCTCTTTGTCTGCATCAGTGACCACAGTGACACCCACTGGTAACAATGAGAATTGCAGGGCTGGTCACATCTTGGCTGCAAGGTTACAGGGTGAACTGGCCCCGTGGTACAATCCAGCTAGGCCAGAGGTGGGCAAACTACGGCCCGTGGGCCACATCCTGCCCGCGGGCCCGTCCTGCCCAGCCTCTGAGCTCCTGGCTGGGGAGGATTGCCCTTGGCCCCTCCCCCGCTGTCCCCCTCTCCCCCGCAGCCTCAGCATGCCACGCCACCAGTGCTCTGGCCTGCCGCTACTGCCGGGCAGCGCGGTGGCGTGGCTGGCTCTGGCCAGGCCGCGAGCTCCTGCTGCTCTGAGCAGCATGGTTGGGGAGCGGAGGGGTTGGATAAGGGGCAAGGGTTCCGGGGGGCAGTCAGGGGACAGGGGGGGTTGGATAGGGGGTAGGGTCCTGGGGGGCAGTTCGGGACGGGAGTGTGGATGGGGTCGGGGCAGTCGGGGACAGGGAGCAGGGGGAGGTTGGATGGGGCGGAGGTTCGGGGGGGGGGGTGTCGGGATGGGGAACAGGGGGTGTTGGATAGGTGTGGGGAGTCCCAGGGGGCCTGTCAGGGGGCGGGGGTGTGGATAGGGCGCGGGGCAGTCAGGGAAGAGGGAGCAGGGGGGGTTGAATAGGGGGATGGGGGTCCCGGGAGGGGGGTGGTCAGGGGACAAGGAACAGGAGGGGTTAGATGGGTTGGCGGTTCTGAGGGGGGCAGGAAGTGGGAGGGGGCAGGGGCCAGGCTGTTTGGGGAGGCACAACCTTCCCTACCCGGCCCTCCATACAGTTTTGCAATCCGGATGTGGCCCTCGGGCCAAAAAGTTTACCCACCCCTGACCTAGGCGCTGCTCCACTTTCCCCACTTGGGGGGCTCACAAGGCCTCAGGCAGCCTTCACACTCCAGCCTGGGGTTTGTTTCCCTATGGCGGTGGTTTTCGAGAGGCTTCTCTAGGCTGGGCATTTCTACTGGGCCCAGAAGGAAAAGGGACCCTGCCCCTGGAGTGGACTCTGCACATATAGCCCAGGAGCTGTGTGCTGTGCTTAGAGAGGAGTGGCCCTCGGAAAGGACTGGGCATAAGGCCTCAGGCTTCATCCACATTTCTGGAGGGGCAGTACTGGCAGTGTTGTCCCTCCTGCAGCAGGGGGCGCTGTCACGCAGTGAATGGGCCTCTCTGGGGAAATTAAGGCAGAGGATAAAATGCAGAACTGGAATAAATTGTAAACCCACCCAATCCAATGACCTCTGCTGCCTTCTCGAGAGGGACAGGGAGTTTTGAGGTCCCAGCTCTTTGTATCGTTGGGGTTCCTGATCTGTGCTCATGGCTCAGTGCTTTTTATGTCTCTACGTTTGTGGTCTCTGCTCTTTGCATCTTTGGTGTCCCTGCTCTGTATTTATCAGGGATTCCTGGGACCCTGCTCAGTGTCTGTTTGGGATTCCTGGGTCCTGCTCTGTGTTTCTTTGGGATGACTATGCTGCTGGACTCCTCCCTTTCACTGTGTCTATAAACCATTGTGTTACAGTGTATTTCAACACGGCAGGTTGTTCGGAGCCGCTGGGCATGAAATCCCGCCTGATCTCTGACCAGCAGATCACAGCCTCCAGCATTTACAAGACTTGGGGCATCGATGGCTTCACCTGGTACCCACATTATGCTCGCCTGGATAAGACAGGCAAGACCAATGCCTGGACTGCACTCAACAACGACCAATCTGAGTGGCTGCAGGTGTGTCTCCATCACCCCTCAGTGGCTCTCCCAACAGGGAGGTAGGGAAGTCTGGTGATGTGAGCATAGGCCCTTGGGCCAGGAGTACATGAGCTCCAATAGCAAAACGCATTCTGATTCACTCTGTGGCCTTGGGCAAGGCACCTGAGTTCTCAGCCTCAGTTTCTCCATCTGTAAAATGGGGCTAATAGTCCATTACAGCTGCCTGAGCAGCCACATATTCCTATTGTGAAGGGCTGGATGCAGGATGCTTTCAGGGTTACCAGGTCCCGGGGAGGGGAGCTTGGATACTGGGCAGAATACAGGCAGCGTCTGTTCTCTGTGCATCTGGGATGGTAAAGGAATCTCAGCCAAGGATTCATAGACTCTTTGAACTCCCCTCCCCCCAACTTTCCCTCTTCCCATTCTCACCCTCCCTTTTTTCTAGGGGTCCCTGCTGCACCCCTAGATCTAACCATTTGTATGAGTGACTGGAAGCTGCTTGGAGTGGGCAGCAGAAACCCTTGTCAGCCCCACCACTTATCTCCTGTGGCATCCCCATTCTGCATGGATCAGCCCATGGGAGCTTAGCTCAGCTTCTCTGACACATGCCTGACCCTGCAGCTCAGAACTGGCTGCCACCTGGCCTCAGTTTCCTGCTCTGTGCTGTTTTTTCAGCCAGCAGAATGAACCACAGAGGAAGCTCTCTCATCCCCTCCTGAAGCCAGTGTGGTTACTCCAAAGCCTGCCTACAGTTTGGTTGCTGGCCCAGGGGTGGGCTACAGGAGGGGCCAGAGACTTCTGCAATGCAGGAATCTTGTCAGGTTTCCTGTCATTACCCCAGACCCCAGCTCCTTTCTCAGGTGATTTCAGAATCCTCTGTGGGTGCAGCTCGGGCAGGGAAAGCGAGATGCCATCCCTCCAAGCCAGAGAGTCTCTAGGGAGCTGAGCAGTCAGTCCTGCCCTTGGGAGCCAGGCAGGGCCCTCCAGAACAAACCTTTCCCCAACATTTGCCTTTATCTGATCTTCCTTGTAATGCTGTAGCGTCCCAGACAGGTCCCTTCACTGGCTCCTCTCTTTGCTGGGGTCTCTGGCTCATACTCTGTGTAACCCGGCTGCTGCTCCCTTGGCTCCTGCCTGTCTCCACGCCAGCCTTGTTCTCTCCCTCCTTGTTCCCTTCCCACCTGTGAGGAGGTTCAGCACCAGCGATGGCACCCAGGCTGGGGGAAGCAAAGAAAACTTTGTCTGCCTGAATTGGGGCTGCTCTGGGGCCTGGTGCACATTGCATGACTTGTGTGACTGCTCTGCAGCCCAGAATAGCTGGAGCACAAAGAGCCCTAGCCACTCCCTCTCCTAATCCTGAGCTGCCAGCTCCTGCCTCTGGCCATCCCCCTGTCACACCATATACCAGGCAGCAGTCATCCCTGCACGGGGAATTCCTCAGGGTACTTTTCCACCCCCTCAATGCACTGGGCTGGAGTGGGGGCAGAATCTGCCCATGTTCCCAGTCTGCCAGGTGGGCTATAGGATGCGTGCAGTGGACTTCCTAGGCACTGATGGATCTTCACTTAGCAAAGGTGCACAGAGCTGAAGTGTGTACGTGCAGAGCCCAGGACTGGAATAGCAGAGGGGCTGCTGTCAGGCTTGAGGGCCATCAGTGGAGCTGCATGGGCGAGTCTTGCACAGCTCCTGGCTCTCGGCTTACTTGGAACCCGACTTGCTTTGGGGGCAAAGCGAGCGGATGTCCTTTGAAAAAGCCCCGTGTCTCTGGCAGATTGACCTGCTGACTCAGAAGAAGGTGACCGGTGTCATCACCCAAGGGGCTCGGGATTTTGGGCACATTCAGTATGTGGCAGCCTACAAAGTGGCTTACAGTGATGATGGGACATCCTGGACCGTTTACAAGGACAACAGGACGAACAGCAGCAAGGTGGGTGCAGGGAAGGGGCTCTGGTAGCACAGGGGGAAACTACAAATCCCAGCATTCCAAAGGGGCTGGAATGGGCCGGCGCCCAGACAGCATATGGCAGCAGTGATGACAAAGGGTCAGAGGAGTGGTGTCACTATCCAGAGAGCTGCTGGTGATACCACCGTACTTAGGTCATCGGCGAGGAAGGCCAAGGGACAAGAGCAGCTGTACCTGGGGTTTAATGGGGTAGGTGTTGTGGGACCCTCATACTGACCATCCTTGCTGTGTATGGGGGCGTGGGGGGGGGGAAGCAAGTCACTGCTCAGCAGGACACTTGCACAGCTCCCCACAGGGCTGTGATCCTGTCGTGTGTCCCCTCCCGCAGTGCCTGCGACCTGGCATTGCCCCCTGGCAGGACCTGCTCCTCGTTCTAATGCCTCCTCCCCTCCCTCCACAGATCTTCCAAGGAAACTATGACAACACCTCTCACAAGAAGAACGTGTTTGACGTGCCCTTCTACGCCCGCTTTGTGCGCATCCTGCCTGTGGCATGGCACAACCGCATCACACTGCGCATGGAGCTGCTGGGCTGTGATGAGTAATCTGCCAGGGAAGGCGGCGTGGAAGGAAAGGACTGGCCTGCCGCCTGCCCCCGCCTCCCACTCCGGGCCTTTCTCCTGCACGCCTGCTGCTGTAACGTCCCCCTCTCTGTGTCTCACCCACGCTGCCCCACGACGTCTGTGTCTGGTTCCTGGTCAGGGCTGGAGAGGGGCAGTGAGTGCATGACTGTAGCTGAAGCTGATAGAAATCTCATGGGAGGGCTCTGGGTCCCCCTCGCCTTTGCTTTAGAAAAGCATGTGACAGCCCCGCATTGGTGGGGCTCCCGTATTTGCACTAACACGCAAAGGCCCCTGCAGCTCTCTGGGCCCACAGCTCTGCACTTTAGGGGGCTGTCCCAGCTGAGGGGCTCTTGCTCTCTGAGCCCCTCATGTTGGTCCAGGTGTTTCCCATCCAGGCCCTTGGGGGCTCCCTGCAAACAGAGGCCCTAGCAACCTCCATCAGATCCTGAAAACTACTCCCCCTTGTAGCTCTGCTTCCACTGAAGGGCCCTTAGCAATCGAGAGCTCGTCTGTCTCCCATCACCTTCAGCATTCAGGGGAGCCTTTGAGCGAGATGCCCTGGAGACAGGGCAGGCCCCTCCACTCATGACCTCTATCTTTCAAGCATAGCCAGGTAGCTGGCTTCCCCCTTAGGTGTGTTGAGGGGAGAGGGAGCTTCCAGTTCTTTGTCTCCTAAAGTAATTCAGAAGGGCCCTTGGGAAGAATCTGTTGCTACTGAGTGCACCAATCACCCCCTCCTTGCAGGCAGCGATGTTGCTCTGGGTTCTGTCAGTTCAGCATAGTGGCAAGGGAGTGATGAGAAGGGGCGGGGGCATAGATCAAGTCAGAAGTCACAAGGCTCCAGTGTGGGGAGAAGCTGGCAGCTGGGAATCTGTACACACAGGGCCTTGTTTTCAGACTGGGCATCTGGCTTTGCACTGCAGAAACTGCCCTGCTCCTGCAGGGCACGCATGGGAAGATCTGTCCTGCCAGTGGGGGAGCTGGGCACAAAGGGGGGACGTGCGTAATTTCTGTTGTAAAATCAGGGGGGCTGGGAATGTGGCCAACAGCGACTGACCCAATGTCCAGCACCTGCCCGTAATGCCCCAGGGCAAACACTGCAGGCACAAGAACAGGACAAGTGCTATCTGCATTCCCACTTTTGGTCCCATGAGCATCGCTTCTGAGCACCCAGCTGGCCAGGAATTCATACAGGACAGCACAGCCACCCTGCCAGTCTCCACTAGGCTCTCATCCCCCACTGCCACCGAGAAGTGAAGCCCCGTGCCCCTGCCCAGGTAGCCATTGTTCCTGGACTCCAGCTACTGTAGTGCATCACAGTGAAGTCCACAGCCCAAACCCTCCTGTAGGCCAAAAGGACGGCCCCAGCAAACACAGTTTATCCATGGTGTTTCACAGTACCGAGTCCCATGATGGTGCCCTGCTAAAGGAGAACCTAGAGATTCTCCAGCCACGTTTTCTGATGTTTCCTCAATTCTATCATCTCAGGACAGTGCAAGGCAGGGGTGGCACACAGAACAAACTGGGCTTGTGGTATGGAGCTTTGAAACCCTCCTCCAGCCCTGCTCACATGCAGGGAACTCCCTAGCAGACCCATGGTACGATTCTTGGCACAGAGGCGACTGGCATGTTGCATGATCCATGAATGAGCCTGGGGTGAGGACTCAGGGTGTTCTGTGCTGGTTCTGAACCAAACTTCTGCCACAGCACTCCAGGGTCCTTGGAGAGAGAGAGAGAGAGAGAGTGTATCTGTGTGCGCAGCTGATCAGTCAAAGCCTCTGGCCACCTCCCATTGAGACTGCTCAGTTTGCATAGTAACTCCCCTTGCTTTCCCATGAGACAGTCTCAGGATGTTAATCCTGGGAAAGAGGGGCCCAGGCTCTGCGGTGTCTATAGCTTTTCCCCCATCATTGGGCAGAGGTTTCCCTCAGTGGGGTTGGTGTCCGTCATAGCCAGTCAACATGCAGTTCTGAGTGCCTGCCCCTGGCCTTCTGGTTCACAGCATTACCAGTTCTCCTGATTTTAGTGTGAGTCTCATATTTGGTCTTTTCTCAAAGCCCCAGCTCCTGGGGTCAGGTGATTACAGGAGAATCTCAGCTCTCATTTAAAGAGAAAAACAAAAAGTAGATTCTGGTCGTATTGGTTGCAGAGAAAAGCTTGAAATGCTCCAAACCTAGAAGGACAATCAGAAGAACCCAACATTGATTTTTTTTTAAATCTCAGGATTTTTAAGCCAATCTTGCATTTTAGGGGGCCTGTCTCATGATATTTGAGTGCTTCAGGATGGTAATACTGGGTCCATCCATGCACACTACCCGCTACAAGACTGAGAGTGGGGACAGAGAGGCACAGCGACTGCCCCAGAGGGTGTGCCCCTCACTGACCTCACAGCATGGCAATAGCTTGGCACCTGGCTGAGCAGAGGCTCCAGATTTGGGATCAATCCCCATTGGCAGGGATGTGTGTGTCTCTGGTGTGGATCTGACTTGAAGCGTCATGCAGAGCTGGACCTTCTTCACGTGTGTTTGTGAGGGAGATGGATTCTTTGGTGTAAATGATGGCATGAGCGAGTCTTGGATGGGAAGGCAGCACACCCTGTAAGTGTGTCTGAGAGTATTAAAACAAGCTGAAATTCATGAGTGTCCACCTGCTTATTTGTGTCTGTGACTCGGGTCTTGCCTGGTACAGTGCTGAACATGGAACAGGATTCTGCCCTGCTCCTCTTCCTCTCCTGCTGCACCCCACATCGCTCCCTTCAGCACTTCCCAAGCCTGTGTCTCCTTCAAAAGAGCCAAAGGGCAGAAGGTCCTGGAGGATAGGGGATGCCCCATGTGTCTGAGGTCTGGGATTCATGTTCCCACTGCTTCAAACCTGCTCCCCGCAACACAGCCTGCCATGGCCTCAGCCTCCTCCCCCCACCCCATGGCGCGTCTCCTGGGCTCTGCTTACGCGGCCAGCAGCAGCACCACCGATCTCCTGGGGGCAGGGCCGCTGTCTGGAGCTAGGTATAACATGAGTGAGGCCAGGAACTTTGTTAGTTCCCTGTGTGCCCCCTTCAATCTATCACCATATAATTACCCAATTCACTCAGCTCAGAGCCCTTGTGCTCCTAGAGCATCCTCTGCAGCCTGGGAACTCCCTCTGCTTTCCCAGCTCCCTTTTATCTCCATGAATGCTCTGGGGCCTGGGATTAGAGTCGGACTTACTCCAGCTGCAGCCCCCTTGCCGGGAGATGAGCAGCGGTGACGGCTGCTCCTGGGAAGAAAGGTCTGAGGCAAAGCAGCCGCTTAAGAGGGAAATTCCTCTGCTCTGGGGAGGCATCAGGAGCCAGGAAAAGCCATAAATTCACAGGGGCCCAGGAGGGTCTGGTTCTCTCTGCCTGCAGAGCGGGCAGGAGGGTAACAGGACCCCATAGGACTGGGATAGGGCAGCAAGGGGTGAGGGAGGGGAGTAACTTGGCAAGTGCTGGTGGAGCAGCAGGAGCCTAAGTGAAAACTGGGCTAAGAGGCCCCCCCTTCCTCTCCGAGCTTTCCAGTCACAGTGTGCCGCAAAGCCTTCTGTGGAGGGGGATAAGAAGGGGCCGATTCTTGGTGGGGGTAGGGTGGGATCATGCCCTGCCCCAAACCTAGCGATGGGAGAATTCTGACCAGTCCAACACAGGGAAGCACCTGGAACCTTTCGCTTTCTTGAACTTCTTCCCCTGGCTCAGGCTTTAGGGCCGCTGACACGGCTCCCATGACTCGGGGCTGCGGGGAAAACCTAGCTTCCCGAGCCGCCTCAGCGATGGTCCAGGAAAGGGGATTTGATTCTGGGCAAAGGGTCAGGCCAGTGTCTCATCTATTCAAGCCCATCTGCCCCACTCTCCCTACACTTGACCAGATCTCTAGCATGCTGCGGGACAGGATATGGGTTTCTCCATCTTTGTAACTAATTCCAGGGCTGGCAGAGCTTGGGCAGCCTGGACAGGGTCACTCCCTGACCCAAGAAGACTTCCCACCAGCACCAAAGCATTTTTTCCTTCCCTGAAGATGCTGTAGCCACCCCACCCCACCTCAGCTCAGGACCTACACAGCACTGGGGCTAGGCCAGATGGCTGGGCGATTCCATAGAGACCAGCACTCTCCTGAGTCAGTGCTGACCCCCGTACATCGCTAGGGGGTGCCAATCTGCAGGAGATGGTGTGGTGCCTCAGCTGGGGTTGCTCCCCCCTCCAAATCAGTGCTGACACTCAGCATAGTGCAGAGGGGTGCTCTGGAGAGGTGCCATTTTCCAGCTCAGACATTAAAAGCCTGGCTGCTTTGGGCTGTTAAAGGTTCCGTTGCACATTTGAGGAAGCTGCTCCCCAAGAGGCAGGCTGTTTATAACATAGGTGACATGACACACAGGGGAACTGTCTGGAGACTGAACTTTCCTGGCCCTGGTCCCATAACAAGGATCAGGCTCCCAGAGGGTTATCCCTGCCAGTAGCTACTGTTATAGCATTAAGCCTGGTGTCCCTGCTACAGTCCGGTTGGGTAGTTACCTTGGCCCAGATCCACACAGGTATTTAGGCTCCTACCTTCCACCGAGACCAACGTGAGCTTGGAATACCTTTGAGGACCTGTTTCAGAGTAGCAGCCATGTTAGTCTGTATCAAGTGACACCATCATAGGACCTAATCACATTAGCCACGCCATCAGGGGCTCGTTCACCTGCACATCTACCAATGTGATATATGCCATCATGTGCCAGCAATGCCCCTCTGCCATGCAAATTGGCCAAACCAGACAGTCTCTATGCAAAAGAATAAATGGACACAAATCTGACAACAGGAATCGTAACATTCAAAAACCGGTAGGAGAACACTTCAACTTCTGTGGCCACTCAGTAAAAGATTTAAGGGTGGCAATTTTGCAACAGGAAAGCTTCAAAAACAGACTCTGAGAAACTGCTGAGCTTGAATTAATATGCAAACTAGACACAATTAACTTGGGTTTGAATAGAGACTGGGAGTGGCTGGGTCATTACACATATTGAATCTATTTCCCCATGTTAAGTATCCTCCTCACACCTTCTTGTCAACTGTCTAAATTGGCCATCTTGATTATCACTACAAAGTTTTTTTTTCCTCCTGCTGATAATAGCTCATCTTAACTAATTAGCCTCTCACAGTTTGTATGGTAACTTCCAACTTTCTGTCTGTGTGTGTTCCATTCTATGTATCCAATGACATGAGCTGTAGCTCACAAAAGCTTATGCTCTAATAAATGTTAGTCTCTAAGGTGCCACAAGTACTCCTGTTCTTTTTGAGGACCTAAGTCCTCCTGCCTCCCTTCATGCCCCACCCCAGTTCTTCACTTCCTCTCCCTTTAAAAAAAAAAAAAAAGTGGGTGATATAGCTGGTGTCTCCCCAGAAGTGGCTGCAATTCAGAGGCAGGCAGGCAAGCGATCTCTGCCCTCCTGGCCTTCACAGCACTTGGGGATGGAAAGGACTCCAGCAATGATTAGTAATCAAGCAGACCATGTGGTAATTTAGCCCTGGACATCCTCATTTGGCTTCGGCTTATCTTTGATCTGGGAGGCATCTCCGTGCACTCTTGGTGTGGGTGGGAGTTGCTAAGCTGGCACCAGAGGGCCTTTCTTGGCCACTTGTTGCAGCTGATACTCAAACTGTCCCAATCAGGTAGTGCGGATGCTGTTTGGCACCCCCGATGCTCTGCAGGTGAAGCCTTCCTGGGCAATGCAGATGAGTGGCTAACCCTGTAGGGAAGCAGGAGGATGAGGCCAGGAATCTGGCACCAGCTGCTTTCAGGAACATGATGCAGATCCCTGGGCAGAACAAAGCATGCGAGAGGCATGAAAGCCCTGCAGAGGGACCCGTTCCTCATCTCCTCAGGTTCCTGCAACAGGCAGAGTGTCCAAGAGGAGCCCAGGGCACTGTTACTCATGGAAACCCATTTTCAGTGAATCACAATGTGGAGTAGAGACTATTCCTGCCCCTCCGCCCAGCTGCTGAGCCCTGGCCAACCGACCCTGGTCTGCAGCCCTAGCTCTCCCATGAGCCCCCTACAAAGCACGCCATCTCCAGGGGCAATTGCCTCTCACCCCCCTGACTCGTGGGGAGATGCACTCCTAGCCAAACCAGCTCCCTCTGGATGGTTTCCAGCTAAGACCTGAACCAGCAGCAGTGGGGAAGGAGGCTGCATGGGGAGCTCAAGGCTGGGGGAGGATTTCCAGCAGCAGGGAGGTTTGTGTGGGGAGCACAGAAGAGGGATCAGGGAGGGCAGGAGGTAGCAGGGAAATGGGTTGTATGGTAACCACAGGGAGTGTTTCTAGCAGAGGGGAGTGCAGTGGGGGGGGTCACTCAGGGTTCCTGGTGACCTGGCTTTATTTGAAGCATTCCCATAGCCGAGAGAGCAAGGCTTTTCCTGCCCAGGGGAAAGTCCCAGCTGCAGAGGCCCTGGCAGTGATGGCTTCTGACTCTCAGGCAGAGTCTCCTGCCTTTTAACTGGAAATTGGAACAAAGCCTTACCCATCAGTTATTTTGGAAGCACCCTCTTTTTCCTTTCCAGGCCCAAGTACAGTCAGCCTGGAGCACCCCGTGCTCTGGAGGTCAGGACTAAGCCCAGCAGTAGAATGGCAGGGAGTGCTGCAAGGCAGGGCAGGGCTTAGTTGCATCTGCACACGCTTGGGAGACTTTTCCAGGTAGTGTCCATTCTGCCTGGTTTAGTAGGCACTAGCCTACTCTCACCTTATGCCTGTCCACACCCCAAATAAATACATGAGCTGGATGCCTCGACCCCCTCTAGCAGGGCTATGGGGCAGAAGCTGAGGCCACCTTCCTCAGGCTCAGCCCCTGCTGCAAGCATCCCAGGGCAGCCCTTTGATGTGGCCCCTCTTTGACCCCAAGGGCAGCGAGAGGGCTTGGGCTCTCCCTTCACGGCCCAGGTCCCCCTCCCTTGTTTTGGCAGCATCCTTCGGAAGTTGTTCCTGGAAGAGGCCGGAGAGCAGCTCGCAGGGTTCGGGCTGCGGAGGCAGGAAGCTGGCTGCAGGCCCCTCGAGCTGCAGGTCACACAGCAGAGCAGAGACAGGCCCTCGCTGCCTCATGCTTCAGCCCCATCAGTCTGTCAGCTCTGCCAAGGGCCAGGGAGGCTGCTGCTCCAGGAACATGGGGGACCGGGGGAGGGATCCTCTCTCCCCACCAACACAAAGAAATGCCAGGCCAAGATTACAGCCCCCTCTGGGCTCTCCCCTCCCCAGGGTACCCATTGCAGCCTCACACACAAGCTCATACGCTGCAAAAAACCTAAGTTTCAACAGGACTCACCCAGCAGGGCCTGTCCCAGCCTGCAGCTGAAGCACAAATCAATCAGAATCTGCCACAAGAGACCCCCTCCTCTGATCAACTAAACCCCACCCCACAGGCCCAGAGAAACAGGAAGTCTGAGAGGGCCCTTGTCAGCCTGGGCCCCACGCTATGTTATCCATGTAAACCTTGCAGAGACAAAGCTCCATCCTGCCTAAGGCCTCTTATCTGATCAGGAACCAGCATCAACACACAGGCACTGGTCACGGTGACCTTGCCTGGTGCTCAGGCACAAGGCTTCTCTGAAGCAGCAACTGGGCCAGGGGCTCAGCCACTGCAGAGAGCAGCCAG